CATCATCGAGTGACTTCAAAACATTGATCGCTTGCGTTGGTACCACTTCCCCAACCGCATTCAACATTTGAATGCGATCGGTTGTGTCGAGCTTGGCTTTCGGTGCCTCGTGGACACACACTTCGTAAATGAGGTATGTGGCCCACAGCAATGAAATCCCTACTACCGTGCTAGATGGTGTCGACACGAGTGGACGGATTTTTAAATTTATTTGAACGACGCCATGTTATTATACTTATCCATTACAACGTACATGTAGAAGAAACACACAGTCCAAGTCCACGCTAGTGGACGTAAACGATTTGAACCGTCAATGTGAACTAGATCAAGTATAGAACTTTACATAGGATCATATACGATGAATATGGATTACACAGTCTGTTTCAAAATACCGTCACCAATTTCGACACCATTTGACATCAAAATTTTGACAGTAAAAATATGTGTTATAGACCAAGAGCCACTCTAACAAGTAACTTTTTTTTTTTGCTTTATGTCAGAAAACTATATTGAACCATGCAGCTAGACATAAACTAAACAAATAATTTTACGTTCATTACTTCAGCCGACCACTTCGCTAAATCTGCACCATTATTCGCGGATAGAAAACACATCAATTAATAAAGCGAGCTGCATGTTTGATTTTCTGGAATATATTTTGTTTTTGCTCAAAGATTCTTCGATTAAAATTTCTGCATGAAATTCCGCATTGTTTACAAAATCTGCACGAATGAATTATGTAAAAAAAACTATTAACTTTTTTGTCAGCTTTATGTCTGAAATTTTAAACATCGATTTTTATCATGAAATAACACTAAATTATATAAATCTGCACTTAAATACACATATTTATTGTTTTCTGCATAAACAAAATTACATGTTTGTATATATTGAAAACACTCCATATGACACATTGAACGCACTCATTTGAGCTGTCAAGCAACATTTCCATATATTGGACAGCGCCATTCAAGCGTAGAAGAGAGTGAGGTAGCATTCATAAATATCTACGCACATTTGACTGGCAATGAATTTGGGAAAAACCATTTCGATAAGCAACTACATATTTCGAAATACATGCGCCGCCCAATCACAATTAAATTTTGTGAAATGGATATATTTTTTAATCAAATTTAATGGAAATGTTTTTATATATTGATGTATTTAAAAAAAAAAATTGAATTTTAATTTGTGAAATTAAAAATGAAAATAAATATATTTATTTTATTTTTTGAATTAATAATTTTTTTTATATTCTTATATTTTTAGGCGAAAAACAAATATGGATATGTTGAAACTAGTGCACATTTAGATATTTTGCTGAAGCCAGAAATCGAAGGATTCAAAGATCAAATTTCTGTACCATTCAAAACTGTTACGTTTGAAGTAAATATTCATGCAAATCCCAAACCAAAAGTCATCTGGACCAAAGGCAATGTTAACTGCTGCAATATTGATAATTGTAACGTTATTGCCGATGTTGAAAAAGAGGTTTACACGTGAGTAAAATGCAAAAAATAGACAGTTTGAAAATATCGGAAAGAAATTTACTCAATTAAAAAAAATTATTGTACAGACTCGTGGTGGAAAATATTGGAGTCGAGGATGATGGTGTTTATACAATAAAGGTAAGATTTTCTTTATAATTATTTTAAAAACATTTTTAGTGCTTTAAAAGAAGTTAGAAAGGAAATAAACAAGCCCCACCTCTATTTTTATCAATTAAGAAAGATTCCGCGATTCAGATTATTTTCAATAGACATAAGAATTGCCTATTGGATGAAAATGAATCGAATTGAGCAGTTAGAACAGTTTGAAAAGTTGTTTTTCCTTTGAATGTAAATCATTTTGTGAACAATTTTTGATCATTCGTTCATTTACTCTTGATTTCAATGAAATTCTCGATATTCAAACTATACGGAACGTTCAAATGACTAAAAATACAAGATGAAATTGCATTATTATTACTCTAAAAATGTTTCTAGCCACAAAAAACCTAGAAACTTTGAATAGATGTGGCATTATTAGTACACAATGATGAATTTTTGTCAAAAAAAGTAATATTTTGTAGGGAAAGTGTATTTTAACGTGATTTTATCGCGAAACAAAGGCCATATTCGGCTTCCTCGTACCAAAAAACCTCCGTTTACACATTTGGCTAAAGAAAAAATAATGTTTTTAGCGTTTGAATTTGAAATGCACTAAATAGGTCGACTTTTTAGTATTTTGGAAAATAACTGCCAAAAAAATTCCGCGGACTCGAAATTCATTTTAGAAGTATGGTTCATTGGGCAAAAATACTTGTTACGGTCCATAGTACCAGCGAGAATCGAGCGCTATCCATATAAATACACATCTTACACAGAAACGACATCTTTGTAAAACAGACTAACTACAATGTAAAAGTATAGCGAGAGGGGAAGGGAGTAAATAAAAAGGGGAAACAGATACGTTTGATTTACATTGTAGTTAGTCGGTTATTAATAGATGGCGTCATAGGGCGAATCACGCTAGTGAATACTAGAAAAACTAGTAAATCTAGTGCGAAGAATGACGTCACAAACGAAGCCAACTTCACACCAAAGGCCATATAATTTATATGAAAAACTACTGAGAGCCAACTTCACGCACTAGAATTTTCTAGTTTTCTAGTGAAATCTTATCAAAAACTAGATGCACTAGAATTTCGTGATTGACCCCATGGATGGCGTTTATATAGTGTGCCCTTATTGCGCTTGACTCTCGAGTACCAGAATCGCGATGATGCTTTAAACATTTTTTCAGCGCCATACAATTTGACCCACCCTAATGTACATGTACTAATCAAAAGATAGACAAATGCGTACATATAAAATTCTTTTTCTAACCTTATTGTTTTCGCCATTTTCCTCATCGCTAGATGAAATCACAATTGTGACCTGATGAACAGGAACTGATATATGACCTGTATGCATGAAAACAAAAAATTAACACACTCGATTTCAACTGCATATTTTTTCTTCTTTTTTTTTGTTACACACTTACCATGTGAACTAGGGATTTTGTATGTTTTGTTCTGTTACTGGCGGTCTCATCCTTTTTTCTGTGCCAGACATATATGTCCGACCCGGGAATCGTTTCATGGTTATTTTCTGTCAAAAACAAAAATCAAATCTTAATAAAAATAACACAACATTTGGTTGCAAGAATAAAATTTGTTTCATTATCTGTATGGCTATCAAATGAAAGTGGAAAAAAACCATGTCCCAATTTTTTTTCAACATATTTTATAGCCATTTTAGAAATGTCCTCCCGCTATCGCACACACCACAATTTATTTGTTATTTATGTGGCTATCGAATGGGAAAAGAAAAAAGCATACCCCAATTTTATTTTCACTACCTATATACGTACATCAATCAATTAGTTTAAACACTTTATTTTCATCGATATCAACGAAATATTACCGATATGGCTCCTAAGAACCAGACTTATTCACATTTATCGATTTTTGAATATCAAAAAATTAGAGTTAAATAGATTTGTCATTTTTTTGAACATCGATGGTTCAAACAATGACACAATCTATAAACTGAATTAATCATTGGTGTAACTAATAAATAATAATTAATAAAAATTCTTATTAGTTAGTAGATTTTTTCCATTAGTACTTTATTATTTAGTAATTCTTAGTAGCCACTAAGAAGAAATAATTATTATTTTACTAGCTACTACGAGGGCGACTATTTAAGTTTCTTCAATATGTATGTTTTAGTATTGCCCGATGCAAACCATTGTCATATTCGTAAAGTTGGACATTTTTCATGACCATTTGACTTAACAGGACGAATTTTAGTTTTGTGGTATGGCTACGACAGCAGCTTAAACATGACACTCCAAAAAGTGCACTTTTTTGAATATGCACCTAATTTCAAGTACGAAAAATATATTGTATCCAACTGATTTTGGTCTCTGGTGGACAGAGGGGACCCGAATAATTCGTACACGGAGTATTGTGCATCAATCCGCTGAAATGGCAAACGCCAAATATATACGGACCTACGACAGTGCCATTTCAGCGGTCTTCCGTGTTTTTCATACAAGCATCCCATGTAGATGGTGAAAAATCGCGAAAAATGAAAAAAATAATTAAATTTTTTTTCTTCGATTTACAAATACTACTCAATTTTCTGTATCACCTGGTGAAATCAGAATGAAAAAAATCGCATTCCATATCATCTGAATCACGATCTGGACTTTTTTCACTGTTTGAGTGCTCTATACCGAGTCTCCGAGAGTTTCATATAAACTTGCTATGTGATGCCTATTGAATAGTAAGCGAATACCAATCGTGATTGAATCAATAGGCGTCATTTGGCTATTGAAAGGCGAGAGAAAGTTGCAACTGTGAAAATTTTAATAAAATTTCTATTAACATTCTAATAAAAAATCTACTAAGACCTAATAATTAGTAGTTGTTAGTAGCTAGTAAAATAATAATTATTACTTCTTAGTGGCTACTAAGAACTACTAAGTAATAAAATAATAAAAATGATGAAACTGATAAACTAATAAAAATTCTACTAATTAGTAGAAAAAATAACACCTATGGAATTAATTGATTTTTTGTGAACGCAATAAATCGATCCAGTGTCATAGAATTGTGTCGTTGGAAGAGGCACATCAACAGTAAACAGAGCAAAGAACTGATCAATGTGATTGATTAGATCAATTATAGCTTTAAAAAAAGGCACAATTAATATATTTAATAAACCACATTGGTTCGTCATCCAAATCACACACATACACTGTGTCCTACAAATTAAATTAATTGCCGTGGATGTTTGGCAATGGCTACTGTTTTATTTCACGTTTTGTGTTAAATCAATCGATAATTTACTGTATTTAATCAATTTAAAATAACAATTTCCACTTTCTACTTACAATTTTCTTTTGACTTGTTGAGGTTTTCTTTGAAAAAATTTAATTGTGTATTATTTTTTCACGTAATGTACGAGTTTCACTGTATACTTCGATGAACGTTGTTATATTGTATGCGCGCTATAATTGTTGTGAAATTCAGTTGACATTATATGCGGTGGCAGAAAAATGCCGACACTTAGCAACATTTACATTTACATTAATTCTGGGAAACATACACTCACACACAGAGTGAGCATTACAGCCGGTGCGAGATTGTCTTTTTTCTGGGATTTGCAATGTTTGTACATAATCATAAACAGAAGAATTAACGCGCACACACACACTTAGCCATTTTTCGTGCTGTCGCCGAAAACAATCTACGACAACTTGTCGATACATACTATTGTGCCCAAAAAGTAAGGTGAAATTGTAATTCAAATTTTGTGGGGAAAGTGGAGCATCAAAATTCTTTTTTTATTAGGTTGGTAGCACTGTCTTTGACATCTATGCAAAATTTCAAGTCAATATTTCCATGAGGTTTTTGATTATGTTCGTTTGTTTACATCAAGAAATTTACATTTGGCGATTTTAACAATGTCTGATTTTGTTGAGCAAAGAACTTGCATTAAATTTTGTATGCGGAATGAAATATCTGCTGCGGAAACGTACAGAATGTTGAAGTGGGACTTCGGTGCAGAGACCATGTCTCAAAAAAATGTTTACAAGTGGTACAAATTGTTCAAAGAAGGCAGAGAACGCGTTGAAGACGAAGAACGTTCTGGACGACCATCAACATCAACTGATGAGAAACACGTCACGGAAATCAAAGATCTTGTGCTCCAAAATCGTCGATTAACATCTAGAGACCTTGCCGATATTGTTGGCATTTCAAAAGGATCAGTAAGCACCATTTTGAAAGACCATTTGGGCCTCAGACGTGTCAAGTCTCGATTGGTACCAAAACCATTGAATTTGTTCGAAAAAGAGCGTCGCATCAACGTCTGTAAATAGATGGTTTCCGACTATGAATCGGTTATGAAACGCATCATTGCTGGTGACGAGACTTGGATTTATGCTTATGACCCCGAAACAGCCGATCAATCAAGTGAATATCGTGCAAAAGACGAACCAAAACCGAAAAAAGCACGTCAAAGTCGTTCAAAAATCAAAGTGATGTTGACAGTATTCTTCGGTTATCGTGGTGTGGTGCATTATGAATTTCTTCCAACCGGCCAAACTGTCAACAAGGAGTATTATCTGGGTGTTATGCGTCGTTTGCGTGAAGCAATTCGCAAAAAACGGCCGGATTTATTCAATGACAACTCATGGTTTTTGCATCACGATAATGCACCAGCTCACACTGCGTTAATTATTCGTGATCATTTCGCTAAAAATTCAACTCATATCGTTCCGCAACCACCGTATTCGCCTGACCTTGCACCGTGTGACTTCTGGCTATTCTCCAAGCTCAAAAAACCACTCCGTGGACATCGTTTCGAGTTGATTGAAGAGATTAAAGAGAAATCGCTACGTGTTTTGAAGGCTATACCGGCAAGTGACTATTCGGGCTGTTTCGACGATTGGAAAAAACGTTGGCATAAGTGTATTGTGGCCGGAGGTGATTACTTTGAAGGCGACGAAATTGAATTGGAAGAATAAATAAAGAATTTTCAAAATATTTACAATTTCACCTTATTTTTTGGGCACAATAGTATTTCTAATATTCGATGCAAGTGCATGCGAGATGGGGAGAGAGAGCGGGACAGAATGAGTGAGAATTATCAGAAAAGCCGGTGCTGTTGTTGTTCGCTAGCGGCGTGTGCCATTGGCATTGACACTCAAAAATTTGTTGCTTTGTTTTAGATATTCCAAATTTGAAAAGATTTCAATTTGTTACAGTTACACTGATTCACTGTATCGGGCTGTATGTGTGCAATGCAGTTACAATCGAAAGGCAAAAGGGAAAAGAGAGAAAGAGAGAGAGTGTGTGCAATGAACATAGAGTGTGTATGGTTCGTTGGTATGCGAATGATATGCTCTGATTTCTGATTTCTGTTCCCTTCGCATAGCACAGAATTGTACATACATTTATTCACACAAACAAATAAACATTTTCTAAAATCGATAAGATGTTTCGTGATCTTTTGATTTTGTATATAGCAGAGCATATACTGAGCATAGATATATATCCGGGATATTTTGTGAGTATCTGATATTTATCGCAGCCAGACATTGTAATGGAGTGAAAACAATAGAAGTGATTGTTATAGGTCTAAGTATAAAACCATTTACATTACTACAATCACTATAACAATAACTTCTATTGTTTTTACTCTATTTCAAAGTCTGGCTCCAATGAATATCGGATACTGACAAAATATCCAGGATATATATCTATGCTTAGTATATGCTCTGGTATATAGTAATGATCTCATTTATAAACAAATGACTTCTTCGAAAAAAAAATTGATGGCAATAAGAGCATAATGTAATACATGCCATTGCATTCGTAACAGTCTTTGCTTAAAATCATCCTCGTGCTCGTCAATGTATAAAATATAGTCTTAAAATGGAGCTTTGATGTTGTATTTATTGTGTACCGTATTTTTTGTGGAAAAACTAAGGTGAATATTAAATACGTTCAATTGAACTTGTGCAATTGAGTGAGTGAAAAAGTGAATGTGATAATATGTGATTTCTTTTTAAATTTTTTATGTTTTTTTTTTTTTTGGTTTGTATTGATTACAATAGAACCACAATGAATCCTCCAAATAAAAAAGCAAAACTTTTTCAACCATCGCCGTATAACAAATGGATTCTCTCTTGAAATAAATTGAAGTTTTTTATTTCTTTTTGACAGGCTTCAAACAGCGTCGGTGATTCTATTGCCACGGCAAAACTAGTTTGTCATAGTAAGAAATAGTTTCAGAAAATCTTTTTTCCGTATATCAAAATAAAAAAAAATGTTTATTATTTTTCCGTCAATTATTTTCCGATTTTGTACAGCCGAAAAACCACACTTTATCAAAATGCCTCAAGATACGACGATTCATGATTATGCTGATTTTGAAACAAAAGTCCGTGCCGAGGGTATACCCAAACCAACACTACACTGGCTCAAAGATGGTAAGCAGATTAAGCTGGATGATGCCAACCTCGCTATTGAATTTGGAAGTGCTTCCGATTTACAAGTCACATCTGATTTCGAGATTGCACACTTCAGCAAAGCATACGAGGGAAATGTAAGTCCCACGGTGAAATTAATTACTTTGTAATAGTTTCTAACTATGATTTTTCGTTTAATTTACAGTATGCCATTGTTGCCACAAATATTGCTGGCGAAACAACAGCCAAATTTCAATTATCCATGTTACAAAAGGCACCAAACTTTGTACGCAAATTAGATAGAGCAGCTGAAGTTGACCAAGGCGAACCGTTAGAATTGAAATGCATAGTAGAGGGTAGTCCATTACCGGTGGCAACTTGGTTTAAAGATGGTCAAGAAATTGAGCCAAATGATCGGTATGATTTATTTTAAATTTGCGACAATACGAAAGTTAAACAAATAGAACTTGGAATTAGAAACAGACGTTAAGAATTCCTTTTAGTATGGATGTTAAATGGTCTCTTGTAACACATTTTTTTCATTCGTTTTCGAACAATGATTTGAATCATTTAGGGTTATCGATCCCACATATTCTTAACCCAGAAAAGTAAAAAAGTACTTTTCCATGTGAAGCCGTTGTCGAAATGTCCGTTCTGAGACCAACAATGTTTGATAAACGATTACTTTTGTAAAATGGCTTCTGTCGGAAAAGTGCTCATATACTTTCTATATAAATATATCTATAGCCACTTTTATTCCTCTGGCTCCAAGGAATATGTGGAAGAAATATTGACATTCACTTATGTTAGACCCAGTATATACAATTCGTTGGCTGTGTAGTTATAATTTTGCTACATAATTTTTTTTTCAAAATTTATTGTTTCAATTAAGTGTAGGTAGGTACAACATTTTGTTTCGAAGTGTACCTGAATTTTTTTTCTTCAAAAAATCGACTTCTTTTTCTTGGAGTCTTCATAATTTTGCCCGGGGTAGCTATTTTCTAAATCCAAAATTTTATGTAATGTATTATGATCTTAAAAAAGTGTACATTTAGTGTAGGTAACAATTTTGCCTTCATATACGATATTACTATGAAATTAAGTAATTTGGCCATACCAGCCTTATATGAGGGGCGGGGAGTACCTAAACTGAAAATTTTCAAATTAAGTGTACGATGATTTTGTGAAAGTGTACAGCCTTTAAATTAAGTGTAGGTTAAGTGTACATCAATTTTATGTCTTTAAATTTTGAAAAAAAATTATGTAGCAAAATTATGCCTACACAGCCAATTCGTTACATTTGATAATAAATGCAAAAAAAAATGTTTTTGTAGAATCAAGTTGACAAATACACCAGATGGAGTGGTCAAACTTGAAATTGCTCAAGCCAAACCATCCGATTGCGGAGCCTACAAATTGGTAATTTCAAATCCAAATGGAGAAAATTCTGCACTTTGCGCTGTAGCTGTTAAACGTATGTATAGTGTTACATATTTTCATGCTCCTCATTTTTAAATTGGTTTAAAATAAATGTTGTGTAATATATCCAATAGCCGAACCAATGGCGCCAGTCTTTATAAAACCACTAAAAGATTTGAAAGTAGTAATTGGACAACCAATATTGGTGGAGGCACAAGTCTCCGCTTTTCCTTCACCAGAAGTAAAATGGTTTAAGGATGGTACACAATTAAGACCATCACAAGCGTTTAATTTTGTTAATCAGCCGAACGGTGTTATTGGATTGAAGTAAGTTGTCGTGTTAATATAACAAAAATATAAACCAATATCAACAAGAATATCAACATAATTTTTCTGAAATATTTACAGTATTGATTCAGCACGTCCAGAAGATGCTGGTGTGTATTCAGTTGAAGTAAGATTTTCTTTATAATTATTTTGAAAACATTTTTAGTGCTTTAAAAGAAGTTAGAAAGGAAATAAACAAGCCTCGCCTCTATTTTTATCAATTGTCTATACAACTGTTATACAGTACGTATACAGGCATTATAAAGATACAGTTTTTTTTAATAATTATAAAAACATTATGAAGGAGTTATACAGAAAATAATTTTCTTTATCGAAAATAAAATGTTTGTCGAATATTGATACTCGAAAAACAAGGGAATATTAGCTGGGTGGCTCCAAGAGAAAAGACAAAAGAAATTTATTCAATAAAAATACCGTAACATATTTTATTTCGAAAATAACAAATTTATTATATTGGTAGTAGTAGTTAAAAATGTCGCATTTGTTACTAACCTCTTAATTGTCATGTTTACTAGTTTTTGACAATGACAGCTATTCTATCTTAAAGAGTGTCAAAAAATTCGCCAAATTGATTTGTCAAAGTGAACACAATTTTTCACAAACAAGTTTTATTATTGCATCGAAAATGTCGAATTACGTTCCAACAAAACATCATTTGCGGGAATTTAATTTTTTTCACTTTAATCCATTCAGAAATGCATATAATCATTATGATGCATTGAGATTAACAAGATCTGTTGATTCCAACACAAAAATGTTGAGTTTGGTGACACTGAGTGGTGAATTTGGTGTAAAACTTCAAATTCACCAAAAATTTTCAAGTTGAATGATTTCACTCATTTTTGCAAAAAAGTCTATGTTAAATGCATTTAAAAGTTGTGGATTGACTAAATATGAACAATGCGATTGATATCAAATATTTACATTTCCTGAAAGTGGTGAAAATTGTGGCGAATTCGAACTGAAGGAAAATTTGGTTGAATGGCAGTACAAGACTAATCAAATGTCGCTCCAAATTTACAAATGGATTCATTTTCGTATTGAGTTGAGATTGATTGTGAAGGAGGGATCTATTTCAAGAATTTCAAGCATAGAAAACCATATGTAAGTTGAGCTGAATTACAAAAATCGACGTGAAATCCAAAAATTCGTGATTCTGCCCATTGGGTGATTCTGCCAAACTTGATCGAATTAAAACTGATCAAAATCGTTACAGATGATCTTTATTGATGTCGAGTGATCGTTTTTGGTTTAAATGTAACAGAAAAATTACAAAAAACTTGTAGAAAAATTCAATTATCCAAATTTTTGAAAAAGTGATTTTTTCCACTTTTGCAAAATCATAAGAAATTGTTTGAAGAATAGATCGATAAAAAATCTTTATACCCCCGCTGTACTCACTGGACATTCCTATTTCTGAATACCACTAATTTCAATGGATGCAGTGCACCGTTTCTGATCAATTATGTGCAAACTTTATAAAAGTCGAAAAATGACTCGGTCATTAGATACCTGAAAAAAATTAACAGTCCTTTAAACATGGAATCCGAAAATTGCCTGAGAAATGGGAAAAAGTATTGGCTAGCGATGGACAGTACTTTGAATAATGTATTCATTCATTTTGTTATTGAAATAAATGCACATTTTCAGCGAAAAATACGACATTTTTAACTACTACTACCAATATAAAAAAAGATCACTCTTAACAACCAAATTCGATGGATAAAAAGTGAGATAAAACATTTTCACAAACGGAAAAACTGAATGAGGCAAAAAATTAATTAATTAAATGATTTAAATCATTTGATCAATTTGTCGCCTCCTTTTGCTTATGTTTCTTGTTGTGTATCTTCAAATCTTCCATATCTTGATAAGTTTTATTTTTTATATTATGTCCAATTGACACTTTTTTTTACAATTTTCAACTAATTTGAAATTCAAATACAAAACAAAAATTTGTACAATCATACAACAAACAATTGTCTAACGAAATAAGAGTAGAAGAGATGATTTTAAAATTCTATTGTTTTATTTTCATATTATGTCTAATTCAATAGGTGAGCAATAAATTAGGGGAGGCGAAAGGAGCGGCAAAGGTAGAAGTTGAACCAAAAGAAAAGAAACCAGTGTTCATTTCTGACTTACACGATACTGAGGTCGTTGAAAGTTTCCCAGTTAAATTTGGAGTAAAGATTATTGGTCATCCCCAACCAAAGCTCAAATTTCTTCATAACGGAGAAGAAATAAGACCAGATGGTGATCGAGTGAAGATAATTCAGAATCCCGATGGAACAGCTGCATTGATTATTGATAGAGCCACTGCAGAAGATTCTGGTCAATATCAAGCGATTGCAACAAATGAAGTGGGTGCATGCTCATCTCAAGCTAAGCTTACTGTGCATAGCAAAACAGATGATCGTTATGCGGAAGAAGCTCCCCGTTTTGTTAGTGGCTTACGAGATGCAAATACAGATGAGGGTCAAGCATTAGAATTGTCAGCACCATTCATTGCAAATCCAGTTCCGGATATCATTTGGAGCAAAGATGGTAAACCGCTTATTCCAAATGATCGCATTATGATGACTTGTGATGGTAAACGCGTTGGATTGATTATCAATCCCGCTAACGTTAATGATTCTGGTGTATACACACTTTTGGTATGTTTGTTTTTCTTTTGTTTTTGTTTTTATATAGGCGATAAAAAGAATTCGTATTCTTTGAATTTAAATCATCTTTAAAAAAAAAAACAATATTTTACAACTTAACACAACCATAGAATTGGTCAGCTCAACGGATGCATTCACATACATTATGAACTAACCCCGAAATGAATTTTGATATTCTACATTTTCAAGCTGCTTGTTTGTGTATTTTAATTAAAAGAGCATTCCTCGATTTTTTTTCTCAACATATTTTTTAGTTGGCCAACCCAATCGGCGAAGATATGTCAAAATGCAATGCAAGCGTTCGTAAAATATACAAGAAACCATACTTCTCATTACGCCTATTTGATCAACCATCCGTCCTAAATCTTGATGCTAAGCTTCCGGTTCGTGTACATGGTGTGTATACGACACTTTTCAAATAAAAAAACCCGTTTTTATTTTGGTCGGAGATTATTGAAGTTAACTTGTTGGTTGAAGACAAAATACATAAATAGCTATAGGAAATGTTTCCTTACAGGTGTACCATACCCCGAACTCACATGGACGTTTAACAATAAGCCCATCAAAAATAGCAGCAAATACACAATCAAACATGATGGTGACAATAGCATTTTGCATATTAGAAGTTGTACACTAGAAGATATTGGTACTTATAGATGTCAGGTATGTTTGTTTTTCTTTTGTTTTTGTTTTTATATAGGCGTATTCTTAATTTTATAAAAGGCTATTAAATTCTTTGGAAGACTTTAAAAAGGAACTTTAAGATATACAAAATCTATATAATTTCTATAATAATGCTTTTAAAGATTTTCTTTATAATTATTTTAAAAACATTTTTAGTGCTTTAAAAGAAGGTAGAAAGGAAATAAACAAGCCTCGCTTCTATTTTTATCAATTGTCTATACAACTGTTATACAGTACGTATACAGGCATTATAAAGATACAGTTTTTTTTAAATAATTATAAAAACATTATGAAGGAGTTATACAGAAAATATTTTTTTTATAAAAATAAAATGTTTGTCGGGATATTGATACTCGAAAAACGAGGGAATATTGACTGGGTGGCTCCAATAGAAAAGACAAAAGAAATTTATTCAATAAAAATACCGTAACATATTTTATTTCGAAAATAACAAAATTTTTTATATAAAAAATAAAGATCACTCTTAACAGTAAAATTCGATGGATAAAAAGTGAGATAAAACATTTTCTCAAACGGAAAAACTGAATCGGACACAAACGAAATGAGGCAAAAAATTAATTAATTAATCAGTGTTTATTGTAATAGTGTATCTTCAAATCTTCCTTCTTTTGATAAGTTTTTTCACATTTATCACATTTGAATCGTTTGTCGTTGTGATGCAGCTCAACATGCTGATTCAGACTTCCCGTTGTAGTAAATGCTATATTGCACAATTAGCATTTGACCCTTCCTATGATGTGTATCCGCCGTATGTGTGCATTTAAACTTTGCTTTTTATCATACATATTGCCACATTCATCGCATTCGTATTTTGGTGGTGGTTTGTCGGTGGCGGTAGATGTCACAGGCTTTTCTATTATCACAAAATGGTTTACATCTGCTGTGTCCATGTTTTCTCAACGTGGCGAAGTCAATTCCTTCGATTGCCTCAGTATGGGCTTGGTCATTTGCGACGGTCATACGATCGAAATGATTCGAGATTCGGTGGCCAACTGCTACCAATTCTCTTCCGCAAATGATGCAGTACACTTTTGTGCCAGCAGGTAATATGCGTTTGCAATC